CTCCTAAGTCACTTTTTTTGATGCCATTACAGCTTTGAATGGTCACTTACAACGAGCTGTTGTAAGTCGAGGACTATATGCAACTGACTAAATATTTCTGAATTGTTAGTAACACTTGTTATTAATCCATTACTTTTAGTATACTTCTATGGCTTTCTAAATATTTTATCATTGGTTCGAGCAGTATTTTTCAATGTCAGCAGCTTTAAAATCTGAGGGACTTAGCCACAGGATGAGAATTCTGGGACATTCATAAATCTTAATATTACTAATCTTGAGAAACAGTACAGTTATAAAATCACAGGACTGTGTACTTCTGTGCTTCTATTTAAGAAATATTAACTGACATATCCTGATGGGTCATTTCTTGGCTTAACTAAGGTTTTGAATTCCCTGGTTATAACTTCCAAAATTATTATTGTTTTTAACCATTTAGTTGTGTCCGACTCTTGGTGACTTTATAGACAACTGCTCTCCATGCTACTCTGACCAACATAGCTTCTTTCAATTGTATGTTCAACTTTGTGTCATATTTGATATTATCGAGCCAGTGTTTGCTTTCCCCCTTCTTCTTTGTCATATAATATAAAATTACACAATGGGATAGTTAAAATAGGGAGTAGCTTGATAGAGGTGGAACCATGTTACATTCTTAGCAAGAGATTGATTGATTTCTTAGATTTATTGCACCTTTCCTTTAGGAGTTCAAGGCAGTATATGCAGCACTTCCTCCTCTGCCTATAAGGTAATGCTGCTTGTAGAAAATGACAATATATATACCAAAATGTCGTATTGTGCAAAGGCTATCAGTATGAGAAATGTAATACTTAATAAATATATTATTAAACTTTATTAAAACATTTGGCTATTTGCTGAGAGGAAAAAAAGACAGCATAGAGAATTCGATTCCTGCTTCAATTGATACTGCATATATTGAGAACACACCTAAGCAATTATTTCCTCGATAATGTTTATCTTAATGTATATATAACTTTATGTTANGAAATGCACACACACCACACACACACACACACACACACACACACACACACACACACTGTA